AATACTTAAAAAGGATTTCACTCTCTTCGTCGCGGTCTAGTAATTGCCTGTCGTGTTTCTTTTACCCCTTTAAAGTTTCTAATCACAAATTTGTGGTTTTTGTATTACTGCATGTGATGATTTCGCCCATAAAATACTAAACGACCCCAGACATCCGCCCACTCCCGATCTATCGGCTTGTCATTCCCATGATACAACTCGATCCAATTATCACTGCTTACCGCCCCGCATAAATATCGCAGAACAGAACTCTATCCGGCTTGTGTTCTAACTGACAAGAAGAAGTTCCGAAACGAACTAATTTAAAACCTAAAAAGATGATCTTTTATTCAGGTTCTATCATTGTTGTGTATGACTTTCAGTTTCTATTCCATTGTAACGGTGAACACATTTTTACTGAACTATAAGCATAGTTATCTGCAGACAGTACAATACAACAGTTAATCACATTGTTAATGCATGTTGGGGGCAATTGATCGTAGTTAGAATTAATCGTAATAGAACTCCTGCTTTACGTAGCTTCAGTAAGCCGTAAATCGATGGCGTCCATGTTCTCCAGGGGTGCAAACACTTGACCAATGATTATTATGTGAGTTTCGCCTCAGTCTATATTCGCCATTCCGCATGGGTCGTCTTCTTTAACTCACTTGGATCGTCGGGAGTAGTATAAGGTTTTGTACTTGTTTTTCCCCCTGTAAAATCTGCACCATGCTTTCCACTTAGTGGGAATCAGCCACCACTACTTTACCGAAACCCTTGTCGGTGAGCAGGACTACAACATTTCGATTCCCTGTCAATAGCTCCAGTGGTCTGTCAGTCAGTAAGGAGATCCGCTTAGTGCTCGTTATTCAGTATTGATTGTCTATATCTAATACATTCGCTCTCAACCGAAATCATCCCCGGTTGTCGGTATCAGATTTGAAAATTGATAAAAAATGGTTTAAATAACAATCAATACGATTCAGTTCGATTGCACTTTTGTTGCAATTTAAATAGACCAACTAAGCCTCAATTTGCAGTCGATTTAACAAGGTTTTCAGGAAAACGATGTTCTGGGGATGACTAATACCAATGAACCGTTGTGCACCGCTCATAGAAAATGACTAGAAACACTTTTTTCTCTCAAGTGGAAGTGATTTTATGTCTTTCTTTAGTTTTACATGTTGGACTCACAATTGGTTATCAGTATCGACCGATTATCACACTAATCTTCAAGTCAAACAGACAATCACACATCCGGGAAGAATCTCATCGATTGAGCTTAGAAGTAGAGCATATCTATTGACCCGTCTGGGGTTTTGCCACCGGATTTATTGTATGGATATGTTAATCTGTTCACGCCGGTGCTCACCAATTTTGGTCTCATGTGATCCTCACTGAACGTCAATCAGATACTGCACCCGACAGCTAGAATCGATGGAATATCGCAGCCATTATTTTGTGCAGGCAGCGAGTGCAGTTGACCGATTCGACAATCTGATTCTGAACATGATACGGAAAACCGGTTATGCAATAATATACTTTATCCTGACTACGTTTTAGTTGACTAGTGGACTAATATCAACATTATTCGTCATAACTGTTGAAGTCATAGACAAAATCTTGCAAACGTTAAATCCTTCTCTGTTTCCAATCCGTCAAATTGGGTAACCCACTGCCAACAGTGAAACGCGTCATATGATTGCGTATCCGAACGCTATCGATCGACCAAGTTGTGGACCTCTACCGTTCCGCTGAATTTCACTCCGTCCTTAAGCATAGACACACACGTGCTCTTGGCATGCATCAGATATGCACGTGTGCACAGTGTGCCTGACCATTCAGTATGCATTCCAGAAGCGACCAATCAACGTTCGAGAATGTGGCGGAGGACACACCAACCGGACGTAATAATGTTGACCAATCAGTGTGAGACAGACACAACAGGCAGGTCAAGGCTGATCGCTTTAGGTATATTTGTGGAAAATTGGGTAGACGCATTTTATTGCCTCCATATTTCCGCGCGACTTAAGTACCCTGCAAAGCAATGCGTGAGATTGTGCATATTCAGGCTGGCCAGTGCGGAAACCAGATTGGATCGAAGGTGAGTGCACACACACTTATCTGTGTTGTGTTCATCTCCGGAAATGAC